CCTCTGTGGGGTCCCTCAGTGAGGACACGGAGCCGAGCTCTGCTAAATGGACATGATCAGAGCTAAGAAGATTCCTATTACTGAAGTCTTCCATGATTTATCTTCACAGCAACTATTTTTCCCTCAGTATTCTCTGTAGTCATTCCCCTCCAATCAGATGCGCCCTCAATCATGTTTCATTTTTGACTAAGTTAGTACAATCTAGGGAGAGAATGTGTGGATGATTAAGGACTTCCCATGTGTTGTCTGAGCGAGGCCGTCCGCAGTGGGGTTTCCCAGCACTCCACGTCTTACTAACTGGAAGACACCGTCAGTGTCTACAATGAGATTTCCTCCTGCTGTCAGCGTGGTGCAGGTGAGTACCAGGTATAATCGTGTTTAGAAACCATTTCTTTCAACAACAGACTCATACAGCAAAATGCTTACACTGTAAGGTAGAGGAACTGGCCTCACAGACCAGCAGGTAGTCCTGCTTCCTTTTTTTTTCCCTTTTGCTAGGCCCTTAGTTGAAGTCAGCCTACCTAAATGCATGTCATGCATGCACTGAATCACTTTGATCTTCCTTACTTCTTAAAGATTAGGTAAGAGAGTAGCAGGCTAGAAACTGCCCTATTTTCAGTGAATATCCCCCCCAAAACTATAAAATTAAAACATGCACTGCATTTGTGGTGGCCATTAATGGAGCACAAAACCCTCAAGCCAGCATGTGAAGTGTCAACTGAATTGTGTCCATTCTTTAATACAGTAAAACCTCAATCAGAATACCTTACAAATGGGATATTCTGATGCACTAAATCTTGTGTTTAATGAAATGCTAATCTGAAAACCCTGAAGTAGTTTGAAATTTGTTCAAAAACTTGAGCGTGTACCACGCACCAGACATTGTTCCAGACACTTGTGACACTTCAGTGAACACCGATCTCCGCCCTCACTGCGTTCTAGTAAAGGCAGTGGAACAGTTAATTATGTTACAGGGGAAAAAAGAAAAGAAAAACTAAAACCAGCAAAAAGAAGCAAGATGTCATGCTGCTTTTAATTTTAGACAGTGGTCAGGACAGGCCTGATAATGACGTTTGAACAAAAAGATTTAGCCATGAAGTTTTGTAGGAAAAATGCACTGTAGGCAGAGAACAGCAGTGACAAAGGTCCTAAGGGCAGGACTATGTGAGCTGTACTGGGGAACGGCAGAGGGGGCCAGTGTGGGGATGCGTGGAGTTGAGCAAGAAGGAAACTCAAAACTGAGTGAGGTGGGGTGGGGTGGAGTGCAGGTGAGTCACGGCCCCACAGACCGGTAAGGCCTTTAACTCTGATAGGTAAGGAGTCATCGAAATAGAAGACTTAGCCCTTTAAAGGCTCACTCTGACTGCTACTAGAATAGACTAGAATAGGTGAGGAAACAAATGAGGCAAAACAAAGAGCAGTTAGGAAGGAAGTCACTGAAATCATCCGGACAAAGAAATAAAATACCTTCGATGAGGGAAACAGACAGTGAGATCTTAGAACCAAGGTTAGATGAAGAACCCGAGGAATTGAAGGCTGTTTTTTGGCTGAGAAACTAAAGGAATAGAAATGCCATTAACTAATTGAGGAAAGGTTTTAAGAAGCAAAAATAGTTTGGTTTTGGGTGTAAGTTTTGATACCTCTTAGATCTTCACATGGAAATGTCACACAGAGAGGCAACTATAACCTGTCTTTAGGATTAGTGAGATAACCAAAGTGAGTATGACCAGAGGAGGCAAGGAGCCCAAGGTTGAACTCCAAGCATGTTTTAAAGTTCAGAAGACTAGACCAGCAGCACCAAAAAAAAAAAAAAAAAAAAAAGCAATTATGTAGAAGAACCAGATAGACTGAGGAGCAGCAGCCAATAAAGGGAGGAAAATCTTGCAGGCCAACTGAACAGTGTTTCAAGGTCAAATGTTGATTAGATTTGGTGGTGTGGAAAATACTGGTGACTAAGTGGCTGGGTAGTGAAAACAAAGCCTGACAGGCATCACCTGTCAGATGAACGATCATTAGCCCTGGGAAAGCCATACTTTGTGTGATACATCACAGAGACCACAGCACATCTCATGCTCTTGCACAAAAGGTTTAAGCTGAAACTAATACTTTAGACCTAACTTCTAGTTTACAGGAAGTTCAAAGGGATAGAAGAGTTATGGTATCGCAAAGAAACA